AGATTACTGATGATGATGATGATGATACACGTCATAAAGGGTGAAATTTTCGATTGGCCATACTGCTTCTATCTGTGTACATTTATCTATGTACTTATCGTGTTCTGCTTGCAAGCGTTAATCTGTTCGCAAAAACGAATATATGATCCTGTAGATTCATATAGGGGATGAATTTTTCTTTACCTTTTCCACTTTAAACTTAAAATTCCCACTTATAATATTTTCTTTCTGATTTTCTGTTTCCTAATAATTATAATGCCCTTCACGTTAGCCGAGCGGTCAAAGGCATGTACCGTCTTCGCTCGCTCGGAAGCCGGGATCGTGGGTTCGAATCCCACATAAGGCATGGATGTTTGGTGTGTGTATGTGTTTATTCTGTGTTTGTGTTGTCCTATGTTTAGGTAGAGGCCTTGCGACGAGCTGATCACCCGTCCAAGGAGTCCTACCGAATGTGTAAGATCTATAAAAACCGAAGTGAACGGAGAAGTTCATGGAGGTAGGCATAGGCCCACTGGGGCTGTAGTGCCAGGGGGGGGGGAAAGTCAACATAAACGTTCATGCAATATAAATTTGCCTTATGAATGTACATGTATCGATTGCAAGTTTAAAAAATAGAACATTTGTCTGGAACAAGAGCGGATCAATTCTTTCTTACTTTCTATTCCACAACAATAAAGATTTATTTCAGCCACATAATTTAATTGCATGAACCTGTTATTGCTTTTCACTTTATAGGAATCTGAAAAACTGAACTCCTGGATCCTTGAGAATATTTCCTGGCAGCCTTAATCCTGTAATTACTTTTGAACTCTCATAAAATAAGACACGTTTTTACAAGCATATCTTTCGTTAATATTAAGTTTTTTTAATGCTAGCGGTGTGGGACTAAGTCCCTTGTACTGCGGCCACTTCTGGCCTATTGTACCAGCCCCAGATGATAGGTGAGAGTGATTGTGGAGCAATTGGTGGAATGAAGATTGGCAGGGGAAACCGAAGTACTCGGAGAAAACCTGCCCCAGCGGCACTTTGTCCACCACAAATCCCACTTGACCAGACCCGGGGTCGAAGACGGACCGTCGCGGTGGGAATTCAGCGACTAATCGCTTGAGCTATGGCGCGGCCCCTAATATTAAGTTTATTTTTGTTCGCTTCATGTAGATTGTTCTCCAGTCCGTCGACCGCCGTCCGCCGCCGAAATGGCATCCGGGGATTCCCCGAAACTCCAAATCAGAACCATGGTCAGTGGAGACCCCGCTAGCAGGACAGCAGCTGCCACACATTTTACTACCACAACGACCACCGCTCCACAGGAACTTGCTATGGTGAGTAGGCATCTGTTTCTCAGCCGCTGAGCGGATAATCTTCGAAACAAGTATTAATACTCGTAGAACTGGCTTGTTGCATTTTACTCCATATTAGTGTATCTACCGATGTTAGTAACACAGGATCTGTAACAATACAAGTGGTTACACGCCTGGTTCTCGCTTCGGAGTCCCGGGTTTAGAAACCGTACCAGCTCCATGGTATCACAACCTCGGCCCACAGTTTTGCTTAATTTATGACCAGGCACATATCTGAACTCATAGTCAAAAATGAATTAGCATTTAGCAACAGTTACTGCAAGTAGACATAATTACGTCACCATATGTATTTCACTTTCATCCATTCATCAATGGCTCTACAACCCTTTGTTGAGCCTTGGCCTCTTTTCAGTTTCTTAGTCCTATACGCAGTAGGTAGGACTCCTTGGACAGGGGATCAGCCCGCCGCAAGGCCGCTGCCTACACACAGGACAATACGAACACAGAATAAATGTACACAAAGACATCAATAACTTGAGCTGGATTCGAACCCACGATACCAGTGTTTGAACGGGTGAGAACAGTTGATGTCTCAGACTGCGCGACCACTGTGACAGGCATGCATTTCAGTAGGACCAGTTATTGTTTTCTGTTATCACTAGAGAACGGAAATATCGAGCGGGTTGGCGTAGCGGTAAGGCCCACATTCCAGATGCGCTCGGTTAGAAAGTCGTTCTGAACATCGGTTATCCAGACAAAGGCTCCTTGTGGTTCTCCTCAGCCTCTCTAGACAAATGCCATGACAGTATCTTAATTACACAAAGATCGGTTCCTTCCACACCTTCTGAAATTCATCATTAATTTGTAATCCTCCCATTGAACGCTTTCTGATATTGTTACTGACAAAGTCGTGAGATGACCAGTAGGATGTGAAAACATTTCCCGTGGATATTACCCATTTTATTAAACACTTCTCTTGATACTGTTCCCATCTCAGCGCCTAGATTTCAGTATTGCAGAAAGCAGGGAATTCGAACTGCCTGCTGTTTATACAGAATTTAAGCAGAATCCGTCAAATAATTCCTAGTTGCTTAATTAAATGGGCAGATGAACAGTTCGCGAATTTGACCTGACTAGTTCCATCGAAGCCTTTCCCTACTAGACTTGAAATGATTCTGACGATGGTGTATGCTGTACAAAACTATTAGGCTTATTTTGAACTCTATCCATCGTCTGGTATATCATCATCATCATCATCATCATCATCATCATCAGTAATCTGTCAAGACGACAGGTCCACAGTCTCTTTCAAAACAATTCCTCCACTTAATGCGATCTAGAGCTTTCTCCTTCAAATGACAGTATCCTCTTCTGTCCCCAAGGTCATCCAGCATCTTCTTACGTCTTCTTCCTCGTCTTCTTGTCACTTCTATCCGCCCCTCTATCTTTCCTTCGATAGCTTCTTTTAGAAGGCAGTTTCTGCGTAAAACATGACCAATCCAATTAGCCTTCCGTTTTCTTATTTCGTGTAGGACATTCCTCTGCTCACTGACTCTAATTAACACTTTTTCATTTCTCACATAATCGGTCCAACTCATCTTCTCCATCCTTCTCCACGTCTGGTATATATAAGACAAAAATCACAACGTTTCGGAGACTGGGTCTGTCTCCATCCTCAGGTGGATGTGACAGGATAGATGTACTCAGGTGGCCCGTTAGGAAGAGATAGTCTCAATCACTGGACCTTATATATACCAGACGATGGATACAGTCCAAAATAAGCCTAATAGTTCTGTACACCTTTCCCTACTGCTTTGTAATTTGACGTTACAGAACTGAGCAGTTCTTAGATAGTAGTTCTATGACGGAAGAAGTAGGTGTATAGGTCAAGTGATTAGCTTCATTCTCTATTTGTACAAAGACGGTATCTGTGTTAAACATAGCAGTATATGTATCGTATATATATATATATATATATTTATTTATTTATTTATTTTTCCTTGGCACTACAGCCCCAGTGGGCCTAGGCCTACCTCCTGAACTTCTCCGTTCACTTAGGTTTTTCTAGATCTTACACATTCGGTAGGACTCCTTGGGCGGGTGATCAGCTCGTCGCAAGGCCTCTACCTGTACATAAACAGATAAAACGCACACACACAAACTAAACATCCATGCCCTGAGTGGGATTCGAACCCACGATCCCGGTTTCCAAGCGAGCGAAGACAGTACATGCCTTAGACCGCTCGGCTACCGTGACCGGTGCAGTATATGTTTACCTGTTTTTTTTTAATTTATGGTTTCCTTAACGACGTCAGTAGATTTCTTAGGATGAGTAGTGAATATTAAATTGCAAAGCTTGTGGAAAGAGCTTACAAAAACCTTTTTCACGGACGTGATTCGAAAGAAGCACGCCCTTAATTCAAGTCAGATGCATCACCACTTGAGATGCAAGCCACGTAATAAGTAGGTCACGAATGAACGAATTTCTTTCTGTAAAATGCGATAGGATTCTTGTATCATTATTTTTAATTTACTGTTAATTTTAACGGTCCGTGTTCTGAGTAAACCCTGTCCATATGTGCTTTTTGTTAATTCCCTGTGTATTCAGCAGCAAAACAATGTTACATTTGTGACGTATATGTAGGCCTGATGCTAATAGTCACAACAACAGTAGATCATACAAGGAAATAAACATATGTACGTTGAATATGACTTAAAACTCCAATGGGAAATGAAACTTTGGAAAAGGCCTGTATATAGAGCATATAATCTGCACTAATTACAGGTTGCCTCTCAAAGCTCTTACGAACTTCTCCAGAGACGCGGTCCGCATCATTTCTTACTGGATATAGAACTCATTTATTAATTCACTGTCTATAATAAATCACAGCTATAATCTTTTCTGACATTTCCTGAATTAGTAATGCAATGTCAGTAAGTTGCTTTTGAACAGTAGCGTTGTATCAGCCTAAGTACGCATGAATCGTACCGCACCTTTTATATAAGCCACCCTTCTCTCTCTCTCTCTCTCTCTCTCTCCTGTTGCTCCCACTTTGGAGCAAAGGGCATCCGTGAAACGCTTTGTTTCACTTCAGTTTCTTAATCCTGTACACAGTTGATATGACTCTTTGTACGAGGGGTATCAGCCCGTCGCAAGGCCGCTACCTACGCAAACACAGAATAAACGCAGACAGACATCCATGCCTCGAATTGGATTCGAACCCACGATCCCAGCGTTCAGGCGGGCGAAGACAATTTATGCGTTAGACCGCGCGGCCACTGCCATCGGCTAATAGGCTTATCCGGTTTATTATTTCTTCTAAACAATTCTGTAGTAAATGTTGTTTGTACGAAATTCTAATAAGGAATGGCTTACCTTGCAACCAGATTGCTTATATAGAATATGATTCATGAATTAGTATTTTCAGACTATTGTTGATTTCAACAATCCATTCTCTAGTAGATTTATAAAGGTGAAATGTTTGAATGGGCTGGACACATAATACGTGCCAGCGAGAATAGAATGATTAAGAAAATGCTTAATACTAAACCAGAAGGAAATAGGAGAGTGGGAAGACCAAGGTTAAGATGGGAAGAATGTGTGTGGCAGGACATAAGAATTTTGGGTGTAAAGAACTGGAGGAATGTAGCATCGAATGGAGAAGAATGGCGAGCAATCCTGAGGAAGGCCAGGGCTCACGAAGGGCTGTCGTGCCAGTGATGATGATGATTCTCTAGTAGGCCTGTAACATTAATCTCTGTAAGTGTATTTAAGTATATTTATACCTGTATAGTATTGTCGCGTGTTTGCTAGGCAACGCGAAAAGAAATTGTGTGGCTTCTCGGATTAGAACGAATACCTTTATTGTACAGTCACTTTTATACTCACACTTACAGTTGTTCACTTATACGCCCTTTAGACGTTTCTTCTCCAATGTTACAACACACTCGCACGCTATTCTCAGTGAAGTGTCTTCTGCTCTAGTCGGATGAGAATTCTTCTCTTCTCTTGCCGAATACGAACTCTGCTGGTCTCTGGCCTACGTTAGACTGTTATAACTTGTCCTCGGACTAACTAGGGAATACCTTGTGAAAGGGTTTATTCCGCCCGCTGTTACGCAACGAAAAATTCATTGCTTGGATATTACTAGCTGTTGTATAGCAATGGATGCATTCTGATTCCTAGCCGTTGTCATGGGAACGTTGCTCGTTGCCTAGGAAATCAACCCTGATCTCCTCAACCATTCCGGCTTTCTGGCGGCACGCAACAATATATATATACATACATGTTGGGTTTATAGATTAAGAGTTACTGCTTGGGATGTCTTCCTTTCTTCGCCTAGTCTGGACAGTAATAATAAGATAAATGGCTACGCTAGGGACTGATTCGCTTGCACTTAATCCGGTCAGAATATACATAACTGAGAATAGTGATGCCTTCCAGTGTTACAATAATCTCTTCTAAATGAGCGGTTCCTATGAAAATGGGGGCAGCTAATGACACAGAGACTGTAGTTGGCAGATCCACGTACCAACAATGTTGCTGTCTGTAACCACCGCTTGCAGCACTACTGTGTTGCCATAATGGCACGCAGAAATATTGTAATTCTTTTGTAACAGAGGAACTTTCTTTCAATCCCGACTAAAATGGAGAGAAACCCAACCTACCGACTTCTTCTTATGAAAAATTAACTTGGTAGCCACCCAGAAATTTGTTTTCATTGCTTTCATTTCTACTTAAATTCGATTTGTTTGAATTCACTGGTATTGAAATTAAATCCTCTAAGTTATAGTCAATAACAAGACAAGAAAAAAGAAAGCAGCCTTCTGGGATTTGGCACCGTGTATATGTGGTGTTAACCGACGTTTCGGAGGAACGTATCGCCTCCATCTTCAGGGTAGAAGGAAAAATATAAGAAATCCGCAGACTGCTTTTATCGGTTCTCACGGTGTCCTCGCTTGCGGATTTCTTATATTTTTCCTTCTACCCTGAAGATGGAGGCGATACGTTCCTCCGAAACGTCGGTTAACACCACATATACACGGTGCCAAATCCCAGAAGACTGCTTTCTTCATAGTCACCGCCGTGAAAGCCTCAAATCTTACAAGATACACAGATAAAATTCCATAAAGCTACTTGTACGAGTTTTTACATATGGATCCGAAATTTTGACTATTATAAAAAAACAGGAAGCAGAAAATGACACTGCAGAAATGAAATTCTTTAGTACGGCAGGCTACACAAGAAAGGTCCAAGTAATTAATAATAAAATTAGGGACGAACTAAAGTTTTTAATGTAAATAATAACATTTTAAATTATGGGCGGAAACGGAAATGCCGCATTCTACGAATGGAAGACAGGGTACCTGCAAGATCATTTTAACATACAACCCAACAGAACGACGAAATATACGACGCCCAGAGTTAAGACTGAGGGACCAGCACGCTATGCAGACGGAAGTAGCAGACGAAACGTGGCCTAATCCATGATGATTATGATGATGAAAATATAATCAGCTTTCTAATTTTCAAGGATAGACCATCGGAACAAATGTGGTTTGTTGAGATATCTATGTAGTACAGTAATGCTGATAGACTCATTTTTCTGTAACAATTGCGTATACTGCATAATCGGTCAAATATTTTCACTCTTCTTCACAGTTCTAAATCTTCGTAATTTCAAGTCCCCGAACATGAGAGAGGAAACAGGGAAATGCCGGAGCTAGTATCATTATTCGCCAGAGTTGCTAAGTCCATGAAAGGGGGACGCGTTCTTCTTACTGCTTTGTTGTACACCGTCTGAAATGAAGACTTCCGCGCGTTGGTTTTCAAATGAATTGAAATTGATTCCGGTTAAATGCATGAATAGGCGTGATATTTCGTTCGTGATATTCCCGAGGGCTGTGTGCATAAATGAACTGACCCAATTGATTTCATCTGATACGAGTAAATACGCATGGCTACATATACATGAATACAAGTCAATAGATGTAAGGGCATAACATGAACAGATCTCTTGGGAAAAATGTTAGTATAATTAACTAACTATACTACTTACCTAACTAACTAACTCCACAGTGCTAAGTCCTTCTTGAGAACCTCTATAATGAGGCCTCTCGAGGGGTGCAACTGAATCTCATGGAGGAGATTTTCAGCATTTGTTATAAATGTGGGGGCACGCAGTGGCGTAGTTGGTTGAGGCACTATGCTACAAGCCGGAAGGTCGCGGGTTAGATTCCTGATGAGGTCATAGGATTTTTTCAGTCGACCTAACCCTTCCAGCCGCACTATGGCCCTGGGGTTCACTCAGCCTCTGACAGAAATGAGTACCAGGAATTAATTAAATAATTTTCCTGGAGGTTAAAGGTCGGCCGGCGCGTAAGGCTGACAAACTTATCGCCATTTGTGAGCCGATTGTCTAGATAATGTGAGAGCATCAACATTATTATAAATATACTCTTTCAGCTATATAACTCGCAAATTAAATATTTCAGGACATACGTTGATAAATTTTTTTTCCTGTTTTGGTATGTAGAACTCACGCCTTAAGTTTGTTCTCAACTGTCAGTTACACCCTGTCTACTTATGTTGTCCTGTAAGAGACATGTACCAACATTACTATCCCGATAGATGCAACACAATATTAAGCGGATATAATATTATTTAGCTGTTTTACATAAATATCTCGTCATTGCCACACTACAAGCCACTTAGCCATCTTTTTTGCTAGTGGGGTGGGACTAAGTTCCTTGTACTGCGGCCACTTCTGGCCTATTGTACCAGCCCCAGATGATAGGTGAGGGTGACTGTGGAGCAGTTGGTGGAATGAAGATAGGTAGGGGAAACTGAAGTACTCGGAGAAAAACCTGCCCCAGCTCCACTTTGTCCACCACAAATCCCACTTGACCAGACCCGGGATCGAACCCGGGCCGCCGTGGTGGGAGGGAATTTAAACAGAAGTCTATTTTTGAAACCTCTTGGAAGTGATCATCTGGAATAGCGAGAGCTCTCTCAGGCTACTCATTAATCAGACTGAAATTGGAATGAAATACCTCTCGAAATGAAATCTAGATCGCGAATACTACGTTAATGTACACGGTTTTATTACTGTTTTACAGTTACAGTATTGTTATTGTAGGGCGCCCTCTCTGACGAGAGCACGGGCCTGTCTTTTGTCAGAGTCATTGTCTGCAGTAGGTAGCGGCCTTGCGACTTGCTAATCCCCCCATCCAAGGAATCCTACCGACTATGTATAGATTAAGAAACTGAAAAAGCGACCAAGGTCCACAGGGGCTATAGAGCCATAGACAGATGGCGAAGAACTCGAAACAGCGGCACAAATATCCATTGCTGTTCAGTTAAAATGCTTATAGTTTTGAGGGATTTATGGCGGTGATTTTTCAGATTGTGGTCATCTGGATTCTGACTTCACATGGTCTTGTTGGTTGTTACCGATGTTTTGGAGGAATACGCTGCTCTTTAAACATGTCTTACCCTGTTCCCATGGGCCCTAATCGGGCTCCATATCCATTCCCACCTCTGTATATTCAAGACATTTTCCTGACTTACAGCAACCATGGAAATTGGAGCAGCATGTTTCCCGCAAACTTTGGTATCCACCTGCTGCCACAACCAAAGAGACCACAATCTGAATGAATGTGCAGTTTCACACGAGTTTTCAATGAAGTTTAATGTACGAACATAATGGAGGATGTAATCCATTTGACTCAGAACGCAAAGTATTTAATTAAACCTCGAGATGTACTTCTTTTCTTAAGTTAAGAGTCTGTGGTGTGATACGCCCGAGCACTGTGCCTCCCCGAAGGGCTAAGTACTAATGCAGTTCGTGTTGCTGCTTCAGCCTGCTGTTGTCGACGAGATGACCCGGAAACGGGAGTCGTCACTGCGTCAACATTCGTTCTTTGAGCTGCGCGTTCATCTCCGACGCGGCGTCAACCTGGTGGCCAGGGACAAGGGCGGTAAGTGAAAGCTACCTGACTGCTCTTCCCGCTGGTTAACTTGTTGCATTTCTTTCCTCACGTAGAGTCAGATGCAAGGAATGCAATTTATAAGATGTTTCCGGCGACCACAGTCCTTTCTACTTTACACGCACACGGGGATTTGGGTTTGGAACTCAAAAGCATTAATGGAAGAGCAGAACACTAAATAATTTCAGTGCTGATATCTTCATCATTCAGGGACTCCCAGAATTGTAAAAGATAATAATTGGTCGATAGTTCAGCCATATAAGTCTTAAACAGGCGTAAGAATGATACTGATAGACTGATCAATTCCACGGAGCAGAGTCCTTATTGAGAAGCTAGCAGCTCCTCAGATACACAAGACACAAAGCCGATGTGTGTATCGGTAAAAATCTAGAGTTGTTTTCGGGAGAAGTTCGGTTCGAATCTCAGCCGTGACTATGACTAAAGTTTTCTGTTTTTTTTTCTGCCCCTTCAGCCATATGACAGGACTGGCCACGACAGCTTCCAGGCGAATCCTTTCCAATTCGTTATTCACCAACCATCCTGCTATTCGATTCCATATAGGCCCTTCTCTGAGATACTGACAGCGCAAGAAGAATAAACCCATTAAAGTTATGCAAGAACGTCTTCACCCCCTCGTGCACTAAATTTGTGGGTTCGAATTCCACTCGAGGCACGAATGTCTGTGTTTGTGTTGTTCTGTGTGTAGGTAATGGCCTTGCGACGGGCTGATCCCCAGTCCAAGGAGTCCTATCGACTGTGAATGGGATTAAGAAACTGAAAAAGCGGCCAAAGTTCAAAGGGTGAGAGCGAGAGCGCGCGAGAGAGGGGGGGGGGGAAGGGGGAGAGAAACTATGAAAGAAAAAACCTTACTAAAAACCCTAAATGGTTCCTAATCTGAGCCACATGCATCCAGTGCACAACCTCTGGAACATCCAGAGTACAAAGCAGGAGTGCCAACCAGTATAGTCTGTTCGGAGTAGAAGAAGTTACAATTGGCATGTACCTTTGAACTTCATTTCTCACTAACAATTCGCAGTTTGACTACAGCCTTCCATTTCGTTTTATTTTCATCTTAAGTTTTCCCTTATTGCAGAATTAACTATTCGCTTTGTGGCCTCTAATAACGTCTTACTGTGCGATTGCTGGCAGAACTGCGTGCTAGCAGGACTTCGGGCTGTTAAACCTCATAGCGGTAAACCAGAAGTGTTAATTTAACTTTTGATATTTGCCAGTATGTGCACAGAAGTTTTATGTTTCTTATTTTGGAAGTGACTGAGCCATAAGATACAGCATATCTTTGTAATGAATTGTAAAACGGCCTCGTTTGGATCCAGTAAGTCTATGATTTCTACCCATTCCTCTCTCTAGTAGGTCGTTTTTCTTTGGGATAAAGACAGCCGGAACATGAAGCTGAGTCTTTGCCTCCATCTGATTCCGGAATAATAAATGTTAGCCTTACTTAGGAGTTAAAAGCGGGCGGAATATAAATCTGAAAATTTTCCTCCATCTTGTGCCAGAATTTTAACTTAGTATACATTTACCTTGGAAATAAAGATAGTCGGAGCATGCAGCTGACCTCTTGCGTCAGGTTGGTGCAGAATTTATAAATGCCCCAATTTTTACCAATTTAACGCACCCATTTTGTGCCGTATTTTGGAATGTACTGAGCTTTACCGCCATGTTCTCCAGTCGCCTTCATGAGACGGTGCTTAAGCTAAGAAATTCTTTGTGCAGGTACAATATTATCTAGTCTGTGACTATAGACGGGATTTGGTTTATTGAATACATTTATTGAGCACTTATATACTCAATCGGGACTGCAAGTAATTACAGCGCCACCGCTGATTTTCACAATTCACAAATCACTGCAGCACCCGCTAAGTCTTTCTCAGCCTGCTACATCTTCACCAGCCTTTCCCAGGCAACGGTTTCTAACAGTGGAGATTCTCAGCTTCACGCTCTCAGGTTCTATCTTCACAGCCTCACGTACAGAACTATCTCTTAACTGGGTCACCTCAGTTGTCTTCAAGAGAACTCCTCGGCACGGACCACGTAGAAAACACAGCTCCTCTATTGATATAGAGGTGTGTTTACCGCGCTCTTGCGTAGCAATAGTCGTGCCACGGACCTCAGAAAACACCCCATTTGCGACAGTACCTCTATTGTTGCTCTTCGCTTCCTTGCTGCTGGAATATATTTACCGAGCTGTTGTCTAGAAAGGTCTCTGGTATATTCTCCTATTTCGATGTCATCGCGTAGCAACGGCTCTACGTGCTATGTGCTAATTCTTTATCATAGCCTAAATAGAGATATAATTTGAAACAGCATGAATAGAAATAACCAGGACTTGAAAATAAACATTGAATAGAGTCAGTTGACTCATGCCGTGTTGCTTCTTCGATCATTTAAATAAGCCGTGTCGCTTTTAAAGGTAATGAAGTAACAGGGAAGAATTTGAGGTTTCAGTAGTACTGTGACATTTCTGCTGAGAACCAGAATCAACAGAGACAGCAGTTACCAGGGAACGACACTGCAAACACGTCCGTTGCTAGGGAACGGTTCTGTAAATGTCACTTTACAGCTGGTTACCGCAACGATGGAAACACCTCAACAATTGAGGAATTATGAGAATAGTTGTATTCTGTGCGGTCCGTGCCGGATGTACTTGTCAGAGAAGGAGTCCCACAACAACAGACCCGCAACAGTCTGACAATAACAAAAATCTGGCTTTGTGCCCCAGATGGAGTTTGACAGCAAGACCGGCTGGCCGACCATCGATGGTAACATAACTATTATTTTGATTTGTTTTGAGAGTCTTGAGACGGCTGTTAGAAGAACAGGAGGTTGGTGTGATGTGGCCTCCAACCTGCGACGATTTGAGCCCGGGAGCAGAGGAACGTCTGCTGTTAGAAGGCTGTAACCAGGCAACGCCTAGTGGAGACCGTGACCTAGAACTCTAGTCTGCTTGTGATAGAGAATTGCAAAGCATAATAACGAGTTGTATGTTGAAGTGTTCAGCATACCCAATAATCCATCCAGAACCCATCAATCTTCACTCAGTCACGTGACAACTGGTGTCAGAATGGGGGGCCGATTTTCAGTGGTCTATTCGTCTGGTATGGGGTTGACGAATTTTGGAGGGCGTCCTCGCTGGCATGTCCGCTGCCTCCAGCTTATGGGCCTGATCAACCAAGTGGACAGTAACTGCAATAACGTGCCACTGGCCCCCTTTCCTGAGCAGTCGAATTCATTCAAAATCTTACACGCTATTTCTTTAATATATTGCCATGATTTTAGTGACTGTAGACGGGTTTTGGATCGATTACCGAATTTATTGGACTGTTGGATACAGCGCGTGACTACGCTTTACAGTTCACTGCTACACTTACACACACACACACACACACACATCGCTTCCTACAGTTTCTTCTGTATTGCTTTCGTTTTTGTTGAGGCGATAACGCGATCACTTTCTAGCAATTGCCTAGCAAAAGCTGTTGTTTGCAGAACCATTACTTAACAGCGGCTGTTGTATAGTTGCTTATTTCGAAGTCGTTGGCTAGCAACGGATCTACAAGCCACAATATATTGTGACATGTTGCGCCAAGCCGAGCCCCCCCCCNTTCTAATGTGGACATCGCTGAGTTAAGTAGTCAACGAGCGAGTGTGTTATCAACAGTTCTCCAGTCAGCCGACTACAAGTTGGAGTATAGCAGCCGTCGCGGAAAGAAGATCCGGACGTAAGTGTGATTGTGCAATTGGGAGCGTGTGAGACAGTGATACCTAGCTCCCCGACTGTAAACGTGTAGCCTACTGAAGGCAGACTGAACTGATTTGCGCATAGGGTTATAAAGTGTGAAACCCCGCAACAGTGGTGACAGATTAATGCGATTAGGGTTATAAAGTGTGAAACCCCGCAACTGTGTGATAATTAAGTGTAGCCGATAGTTGTAGATTGTTCAATAAACCAGTTAACGATCTCTACGGCGTCTTCGGTAACGTAAACACGTTACAATATTTTAATGTTATCCTCCCATCTATACCCAAGTATCCTTTGTGACCTCTTACTTTCAGAATGTACAGCTGATGTTTGTATGAATTTCTCATCTCTTCTAGGCACACTACATGAGCCGCCTCCTTTATCCTCTCTCTTTGGATCACCCAAACGATAAGCTTGTTTGGTGAAGCATACAGAAGCTAAATCTCCATTATTCGCCTCCACCCATTCTCTACCCCCTTATGAATAAGATATATGTATATTGAAAATAGTGGGAAGGTATTCTGTCGATTGGTTGAAATGAAACATAAGTAAAAAGAAGAAAGGAAACCTTGCTTACAATTTACATTTGTACGAGCGTAACGATTGGAATGTCTGCCATTCTTCTGAAAGAAAATATTCCTTTTTTCGTGTATTTCGTTCAGACTTATACAGCATATGATACAGTACCACAGTCAATAAGTTCGTGGAATGGCCGCAAAGTGTCGTACGGGAATTTACTGCCAGTATGTTTCAGCAATGTTTTCAGCAGCTATATCAACGTTGGCAGACTTGCCTAGCGACCAACGGCAACTATTTTGAGGGCCGATGTGGATCTGCCTAAGTGTATGTGAATACCTTGTAATATGATGCGATAAAACCGTATTCCACGAACTTAATGACTCTACCACGTATAAGCCTAGGCACATTTCACTTATTGTGAAATATAGTTGTATGTTTAATGTAAACGAAAGCGTTCTCCTTTAAAGGAATCTGAACCTAGCAATTTGTGCTACTATTATGCTCTTTATGGATTTGAACAAATTTTGGAGAGTCATAAATTAGTTAAAATATATTTATAGGAATTTTGACTTGAAAAGTACAAATAAATCACAAATATTAAAATGACTCAGTTTAAAGAAAAGAACGTACGTATAACACACAGTTATTAATACTGAAATATATGATCCAGTTTATAACATAAATTTCAGAAATGCATAAAAACTCACTAAAA